CTCACCCCCCCTTCTTTCTCACGCCCCACCCCCTCTCCCCCTTCTTTCTCCCCCTCCCCCCTACCTCCCTGTAGCGTGGCCGAGCCCTGTATGGTCCGCGGGTACAGGGAGCTTTTGTTTCCTGTACCCGGCCGGACTAACAGGAAGTGCACACTCACTGAGTGTGCACTTCCTGTTAGTCCGGCCGGGTACAGGAGACAGCTGCTCTCTGTACCCGTCGGACCATTCTGCAGTTCGGGAGCTGACAGGAGCGCTCCCTCCTGTCAGCCTCTCCTCAGGCTGCGCCCGGGCGGTGCGGTCCGCCCTCATGGACGCACCGCCCGGGCAAAGCTGCAGCCGCCTGAGGCTCTTCACAGAGCGCTCGGGCGGCTGCAGCATGGGGGGGGCGGGGGGCTGGCCATGGCACCCCCCACCCGGCTGGCACCCGGGGCGGACCGCCCCCCCCGCCCCCCCCTTAGTACGCCACTGCCGGCACAGCATGGGATACAGTTAAGAACAGACAGCAGGCACAGCATGGGATACAGGTAAGGACAGACAGCAGGCAGCATGGGATACAGGTAAGGACAGACAGCAGGCAGCATGGGATACAGGTAAGAACTGACAGCCGGCACAGCATGGGATACAGGTAAGAGAAGACAGCCGACACAGCATTGGATACAGGTAAGAACAGACAACCGGCACAGCATGGGATACAGTTAAGAACAGACAGCAGGCACAGCATGGGATACAGGTAAGGACAGACAGCAGGCAGCATGGGATACAGGTAAGGACAGACAGCAGGCAGTATGGGATACAGGTAAGAACAGACAGCCGGCACAGCATGTGATACAGGTAAGAGAAGACAGCCGACACAGCATTGGATACAGGTTAGAACAGACAGCCGGCACAGCATGGGATACAGGTAAGAACAGACAGCCAGCACAGCATGGAATACAGGTAAGAACAGACAGCCGGCACAGCATGGGATACAGGTAAGAGCAGACAGCAGGCACAGCATGGGATACAGGTAAGGACAGACAGCAGGCACAGCATGGGATACAGGTAAGGACAGGCAGCAGGCACAGCATGGGATACAGGTAAGGACAGACAGCCAGCACAGCATGGGATACAGGTAAGAACAGACAGCCGGCACAGCATGGGATACAGGTAAGAACAGACAGCCGGCACAGCATGGGATACAGGTAAGAGAAGACAGCCGACACAGCATTGGATACAGGTAAGAACAGACAGCCGGCAGCATGGGATACAGGTAAGAACTGACAGCAGGCAGTATGGGATACAGGTAAGAACAAAGGGTCAGGAGGTGGAATAAGATAGAAAAATGTACAAGTGGGCTTAGAAGGATAAACCTTTCTAGGAGTGTGGGAGAGAAAAAAAGAGGTTTGGTAGAGGGAGAGAGGTGAAGTTTATGGAAGAGGGAGAAGCCTTGAAGTTTGTGCAATATTCTTGTATGTGAAGGACTCAAGTCAATGTGTATCAGAGAGTGTGCATATTGTCAGTGAATGTCTGAGTTAAAGGGACACTATAGTCACCTGAATAACTTTAGCTCAATTAAGCTGTTTTGGTGTAAAGAACATGCCCCTGCAGCCTCACTGCTCAATCCTCTGCCATTTAGGAGTTAAAATCTTTTGTTTATGAACCTTAGTCACACCTCCCTGCATGTGACTTGCACAGCCTTCCATTAACACTTCCTGTAAAGAGAGCCCTATTTAGGCTTTCTTTATTGCAAGTTCTGTTTAATTGAGATTTTCTTATCCCCTGCTATGTTAATAGCTTGCTAGACCCTGCAAGAGCCTCCTGTATGTGATTAAAGTTCAATTTAGAGATTGAGATACCATTATTTAAGGTAAATTACATCTGTTTGAAAGTGAAACCAGTTTTTTTTTCATGCAGGCTCTCTCAATAATAGTCAGGGGAGGTGTGGCTAGGTCTGCATAAACAGAAACAAAGTGGTTTAACTCCTAAATGACAGTGAATTGAGCAGTGAAATTGCAGGGGAATGATCTATACACTAAAACTGCTTTATTTAGGTCAAGTTATTTAGGTGACTATAGTGTTCCTTTAATGTAGTGTGTGTGTGTGTGTGTTTTTTGTTTTGTTTTTAATGGGCAGATGCTCAATACACACAACGTCTGCTTTTACAGCAGAACCAGGGTCGCCACCAGAAATTTTGGGGCCCCTAACTCAGCTCAGGGTCTGGGCCCCCTGGGGCCCGCCTCCAAATACCGCCCACTGGGTCCGCCTCCAAATACTGCCCACAGACACAAACACACACACTGATACAAAAAGACAGAGATACATACTAACAGACACACATACTGAAACAGACATACACGCATAGAGGCATACATACTGAGACATACACACAGGCATACATAGCGACAGACAGACACATACTAACATACATACAGACACACATGCATGAGGACATAAAGACACGTACATACATACAGACACCGACATACATACATACATACACACACACACACAGACATACTGACAGACATACAGACACTGTCATCCATACACACATACATTCATAATGTCATACAGACATAAACAGACATACATTCATAATGCCATACAGACATACATACATACATTCAGACTGACATACATGCATATATACAGACATACTGACAGACATACATGCATACAGACATCCATACACACATACACACAGACATACGTTTACAATGATATGCAGGCATACATTCAAACTGACATACAGACATACATATATAATGACATACAGACATACATATATACATACATAGACATACATACAGACAGACATACATGCATACAGACATACATACATCCATAGACATACATGCATGCATACAGACATACATACAGACATACACATACATACATACAGACAGACATACATACATAGACATACATACATGCATACAGTCAGACAGACAAACATAGACATACACACAGACATACATACAGACATGCATGCATACAGACATATATACATACATACATAGACATACATGCATACAGACAGACAGATATACATACAGAGACAGACAGACATACACAGACAGACAGACATACAACATACATACATACACATACATGCATGCCTACAGACAGACATACAGACATACACATACATACATATATACATACAGGCAGACATACATACAGACATACATACATAGACATACATACATACACAGACAGACATACAGATATACATGCATACAGACAGACATAGACATACATGCATACAGACATACAGACATGCATACAGACAGACATACACATACATACATACATACAGACAGACATACATACATAGACATACATACATACACAGACAGACATACATAGACATACACACAGACATACATACAGACACACACACACAGGCATGCATGCATACAGACAGACATACACATACATACATACAGACAGACATACATACATAGACATACATACATACACAGACAGACATACATACATAGACATACACACAGACATACATACACACACAGACATACATGCATACAGACAGACATACATACACAGACAGACATACATACATACATAGACAGACAGACATACATACATACATGCATACAGACATACAGACAGACATAGACATACATACATAGACATACATGCATACAGACAGACATACATACAGAGTTAGACATACATACACAGACAGACATACATACATAGAAAGACAGACATACATGCATACAGACAGACAGACAGACATATACATACATACTTAGACATACATGCATACAGAGACATACATACATACATACATAGACAGACATACATACATAGACAGACAGACATACAGACATACATGCATACAGACATACAGACAGACATAGACAGACATACAGACATACATGCATACAGACATACAGACAGACATAGACATACATACATAGACATACATGCATGCAGACAGACAGACATACACATACAGACAGACAGACATGCATACAGACACACACACACAGCTCATTTTCCAGCCACCCTCCTGTCTCTTACCTTTTCTTTGCAGGAGGGTGGCAGGGGATGATGGGAGTCGGCGCAGCTCCCTCTTCACCGGCGCGCGCGCTCCTCCCGCGAGGAGTGGGCTGGGAGGAAGTGACCACTTCCTCCCAGCAGCACTTGTTTTTTTTTTTGTTTTTTTTTAAAGGGGCCTGGTCACGGCCACAGTGCTGACCGGGCCACTGAAGATATAGGGCCCATCGGGTGGCCCTAAGTGTGTGGGCCACCCGATGGGCCCCACATGTGGGGCCCGGGTGGCTGGGCCCCCCAGGGCTGCCGGGCCCGTGACAACCGTTATGGTTGTCACCCCCTGATGGCGGCCCTGAGCAGAACTACATATTGCAAGTCCAAGGTGTTTTGAACAAGAACTTACATACTAGCACCAGCACCTACACTGCCCTGCTTTGGGAAGTGTCCCGAAGCAGGGTAAATCAATATAGATCTGCAGCTATTGCAAACCGAGATTTCACATATCCACAAAGAAAACATGCACAAAGAATTGCATGCAAATGTTTTCCTTTGGGGGTATATTTACTAAATTGTTAGAAACAATAAATGGTTAGTTCCTTTAACCCCTTAATGACCAAACTTCTGGAATAAAATGGAATCATGACATATCACACATGTCATGTTTCCTTAAGGGGTTAAAGGGACACTATAGTCAGCAGAACAACTACAGCTTTAATGGTGAGTATAATCATTTACTTCAAGCATTTTCATGCAAACACTGACATTTACATTGCCCCCTAGGGACACCTCTAAGTGGCCACTGGAGGTGCTTCCTGGGGTAGTGCTGCACAGTAGGCAGCACTGCCGTTTAGTGGCTCCACGCTCTGCAAGGAGACGCTGAAATTTTCTAATAGAGATGCATTGAGTCAATGCATCTCTATGAGGAGGTGCAGATTGGCCAAAACTGAGTTTGGCCCCACCTCTTTGCCAACTTTAGCCAATCCAATGGTTTCCCCGGGAAAGTTGCAAATTTGCAACAGTTCTCAAAACTGTGCAGTTACTTCACATGCCTTGCAACTGAATTGTTCTGTATAATGCTGATCCTGCTGTTGGGGCATTGCAGGAACTTCTGTTAATCACATGCACAACAAAAAATAAAGAATTATAAAAGAATAAAAAAGATTGACAAAAAAATCTTAATTTAGTGCCTGTCCCCTAGCCATATTTTTGTTCCCGCCAAACATCTCTTTTTTTAGTGCTATGAGCAGAATCCATTATTCCGTGAAAAATATTGCATAATATTATATGTATATTTTGCAGTACACTAAGCAGCAAATTGTTGCACCCTTTTGGTTCATATTAAACATTTCCCCCGAATATATTGCATGGACTATTTTTAGATGAGCTGACCTGGCACATGGATGACTATTGGACTACCCACATATACATCTAATGTATACATCTAATGTCAGTTACAGAAAGGAAGCCAAGATAGAGACACCCAGTTGCAGGATCAAGAGGTGGATTTCTTCGTTTTATTTTATTTTTTACATTTTATACATGTATCTATTTGTTACATATATGGAATAGATGAACATAATATTCAAAACCATATATTAGGCCACCTTGAAAATGTTTAATAGTTTGAAAAAAAAAAGCCCTCCCCGTGTCTGAGCGGCCGGCAGTGGGCGAGACGTTCGCTGACATCTGATGACCCTGCAATGCGCCAACGGTTTAGGGGAGGTGCAGGAGGCGCTGGGTCTGCAGACTCTTGGGGGGGGGATGCATGGACTCACATTCCCTCCGAGTGCCCACTGTGCTGAGGTGCCCAAAGGGTGAGCTAGAGGGGACCTGGGGATGACGTTTGGAGGCCTGGTACCCTGGGTGGTTGTACACCACTGTGAGCCCACGGACATGTCAAGCAGCCCTTATGTCTCACAGTTTCATATAACTTTTCGAGCTAACGGTGCAGATCGAAGATTGACTCTTGATGTGGACTTACCATACATTAAATACGCTGTGGACACTCTATTATTATGTTAGTTTAAAATGCTCAACACCAAGCAACAACTACCTAAGATTGTTAATGCATTGTATGCTGAGTACTTAAGTGTTTATACTCCGACATAAAAACAAATGTACTTGCCATGTTAAACTCCCTTACTTTCCCCCTTTTATTATTTTATCTCAGGGTGTCTTACTATGCCCGGCCACGCATGCACGGCACAAGGCCCTTTTTGACCGCTGGGACACACTCCCACGGGTGCTTAAATTGGGACTTCACGCAGGCCCTTTTCCCCTTTTTACGTCTCCCCTTCTTAGCAGGTGGGAACAATTCTGTTCTAGAACCGGACGTGACCTATACCATGCTTTGCACAGTTTTATGCATACAGACACACACACACAGCTCATTTTCCAGCCATACTCCTGTCTCTTACCTTTTCTTTGCTGGAGGGTGGCTGGGGATGATGGGAGTCGGCACGGCTCCCTCTTCACCGGCGCGCGCGCTCCTCCCGCGAGGAGTGGGCTGGGAGGAAGTGACCACTTCCTCCCAGCAGCATTTGCGTTTTTTTTAATTTTATTTTAAAGGGGCCCGGTCGCGGACACAATGCTGACCGGGCCACTGAAGATATAGGGCCCATCGGGTGGCTCTAAGTGTGTGGGCCACCCGATGGAGGGTGGCCCACACACTTCCAACTATGTTTAATTATGCTTTGAACCAGTATACAGGTAACGAAGGACCGTACGGCCCAAATAAACACAGGAAACCCGGGCCATTAATGGCTACTAGAGCATATTAAACTGATGTTTATACTGACTTAGGTTAAAAAAAACAAAACAATCTTTTTTGGATGTTGGCCTAGGCTAGGTAGGCTAGTTATGCTAGATAGGCTTCTTATGCAGAAATAGGCTTTCCGTATCTACGCCCTATTATACTATCCTATCATTATAAGCCAATAACGAACCATAACTAGACCTTGACCTAAAGTGACGGAGTGCAACGGAACTTATAACTTATAATTTCATCAAAACCAGAACCGCCTGACATAACTGGTCATCAAATTAATGTAACGCCTTGACACTGTTGTGATACTCAGACTTAAATTAATATCACGTCTTGAGACTGACAAACAATGAGACATTCTTACATTAGAACTGTGTGCTGTAGACTTGTTATTTTCTGTTATGTTGTTAAATAATATGCTATACCATGAAACTGTAAAGCTACATATTATCTTTGATGCACATATCTGCCTCAACTAATGTATGTAAAATTCAAATAAACCTTGAATTAAAAAAAAAAAAATAGTTTGAAAAAAAAATTGAAAAACCGTGAATGTACTGCAGCTGACTGAATAGTCCCAGTGTGGCGTGCCTGTATTGAGGCAGTGAACAATATCTCATCAGATTTCATCAGATTCATGTAGCTCTTTGATTAGTTCTACAGGTGGAACCTGCGGTCTGTCCATACCCTGATTGTTCCAGCCGAGCTTCTTAACAATGATGCAAGAGAACCTTCTCATATGTGAATAATGTTCCCAGGTAACATGTAACTCACCATAATGAAATATTTACTACTATAATATTTTTAATCAAAGGCTCAGCATATGTTCGATGTTGCAGTTCTAGGAAGGTTTAAGCCTCCCGAGGATTGCATTACTCTTATCTTGAAACTCTCAAGCATTGAAACAGAAGATTTTAAATGAATTATCTGTCATCCAGACAGAACAATTATTAAAAAATGACTTGGTTTACACGGAATGACAGAAGTACCTTATCTTGCACAGAGTACTTTTAAGGTGGTTGCAGACATCTGTTCTCCGTTTAAGGAAGAGCAACACCCTGAAGAGCTTAGTTGCTTTATGGTTTCTTCCTGAGTGGAATGTAATGATGTAAAATAATATAGAATTATCTCAATCTTCTACTTCCTAGTACGTTACCTCACTCCATCATTCTTTTCGATGCCGAGTCATGACCATACCTCCCATCTGTTCAAGAATTTCAACACCTTGAGAAAATATGATATCAACCCAGCAAATTTAATATACACTGAATGTGGTTAAACTAAATAGCATTTCCTGCAAATATCGGTAGACAAAGGGATTAAATTATGATATGGTCACCCAGGGCTAACTAACTTGGAGTACTATCTGTATTATAATCGCCACAGTTCAATTTTTAGAGACTATCGGGGTTTGTCACTAGACCGGACACTGCAGAGACTTGACAAACAAATTCGATATTTTATGATAAAATGTCTGTATTGGAAACATTCACTAACTTACCTGTTTCTCCAGTTCAGCTTATTTTGTTCTAAGAATTGCAATTCCCTTGTCATATCTCTATAATCCCTGGCTTAGTGAATGACCCTGTCAATGTCTAAAATGGAACTAATTGTCTAGGTTGCAATGCAGCCACAGCCTACCTTGCAGAACTCACCTGGGCATTTAATTGGCATCTTTAAATATAGTAAACCTTATTGACTCTTTCTGACAGCATTAGTAATAATTCCTATAAGTACTGAACACTGAGACTTGATCTTGAATTTACCTTACAAAGTGCAGGGCTGGCTGAAACTGTTTGAATGTGCAGGAGAACAATGTATTCTTAATGTCTCTGCCAGTTCAATTCTGGCACAGCTCTTAAATCCCTTCTTGTCTAGTAAAAGCCAAACAAACTATCAAACAGGGTCACAGACAGTTGTTCTCCTTATGAGAGAGCTAGACTTAGTAGTACTGTATCAGGGTACGCAGACATGTACACTTGTTTATACAGTATCATTTATGCTGGGAGAATGAAGAAGGCTATAATCAAGGGGTTAGATAGGGAGATCACAGGTAACGTAACAGGTACGCAGACAGTGAGTTAGCAAAGACCAATGATGGAAGGCACGTATAGTGTTCCAACAATACGCCAACAGAGAGTTGGATGGCTATTTACTAAAGAGTGAGTTTGGGGAAATTCAAAGAGAATTGTGAATTTTAGGCCAAAATAGCTAACATACGGGATAATAGAGATTTTTTTTTTGTGCAAATTTAGTTTTTGTGGAATAAAATGTGAAGTTCACTTAGAATTCCTGACAATTTGTAGTGTTAATCCTTTCTAGTGTAAGCTTAACATATGATCCCACTAGAAGCTGGTCAACAATCCATTCAGACCAGCTGGAAAATGTATTTCCTTGGCAATATGTAAATAATACTCATGGTGTTTTGGAAAGAAAAGAACGGTTCAAGCATCTCAATAATATCTTGTGAAACAGCTGGTTATTCTGCTATCTCCTGCAAGAAAGGAGCACATTTCATGTTTACACATAGTATATGCCGAGAGCATGGTCAGTTGGCAACGTTGAATATTCTACTGTTTGTGGGATATGCTGGGAAGAGAAAAAGTCATTATTATCGTGTTAATCATAAGTAATCACAAGCAGCCAGTTTTTATTAAGAAGAGCCATTCCCTTTCTATTAAAGAGCTAGTTTGTGACAGAAACATTTAAATACATAAAGGGAATCAACACAGTAAAGGTGGAGACTATATTTAAAAGAAGAAAAACTACCACAACAAGAGGACAGTCTTAAAATAGAGGGGCAAAGGTTTAAAAATAATATCAGGAAGTATTACTTTACTGAGAGGGTAGTGGATGCATGGAATAGCCTTCCAGCTGAAGTGGTAGAGGTTAACACAGTAAAGGAGTTTAAGCATGCGTGGGATAGGCATAAGGCTGTCCTAACTATAAGATAAGGCCAGGGACTAATGAAAGTATTTAGAAAATTGGGCAGACTAGATGGGCCGAATGGTTCTCATCTGCCGTCACATTCTT